AACTCTATCTTGATGGGAAGAATAATAGTGGACATAGGAACAGTTATTTGTAGGTTTTCTGTAAATTTTGAATTTGAATTCATTATTACCCTTAATAATTAAAACATCTAGAAAAGGCAATGAGTTATTTTCTTCAAATTCAACAGTAAAATTTATAGAATGGGCTAAGTGTATCATAAGACTTAAAGAATCTTTGAGGGCAATTGGGAATGTTAATGATAAGTTTTACACTCAGAAGTTTGGTATGGCAATGGGAAATCCTCTTTCACCTGTTCATAGTAACCTATATACGGAATTTTTTGAAACAAGGCTGCTTAACACAATCCTCCCTAATAGAGCTAAATGGTTCAGATATGATGATATTTTGTGTCTTATGCCCAAAAATGTAGATATACACCATTTCCTTGGCAAATTAAATAGCTTAGCCCATTCTATAAATTTTACTGTTAAATTTGAAGAAAATAACTCATTGCCTTTTCTAGATGTTTTAATTATTATGGGTAATAATGAATTCAATTTAAAATTTATAGAAAACCTACAAATAACTGTTCCTATGTCCACTATTATTCTTCCCATCAAGATTGAGTTAAACTGTCTGATTTCTCATCAATGTTTTTGAGAGATTTTCGAATTTGTAGTCCAGAGTTCATAGATGAGGAAATATCCAAAATTTATGAAATAGTTAATGATTTGAAATACCCAAGAAATGTAATTGATAAATCTTTTAAAGTTGCTAGAAATACTTTTTACAATCCAAAAAGGGACAACCAGCATTATTCAACTAAAAATATGTTGGTTCTCCCTTACCATGAAAACTTTTTTGATATGCCTTCTCTTCTTAAGACGGATTCAAAAATCTTGATACAGTAAAAAAACTTTTGATAAGGAATTCCCCCCAAAATGCTGAAGGATGTAAAATTTGCGATAAAGTTTGTAAAGTTTGCGATAATGTTTATTACAGTCAAACTGGTAAAAATCTCGAACTAAGATTAAAACAACATAAATATAGCATTAGAACTGGACAAGATTCCAATGCTCTGTTTATTCATGTAAGAGATTTTAACCATCCAATTGATTTTCAAGAAGTTGAGAAAGTTGTATCAAGAAAGTCCATGGTCGACAGGAATATAATTGAATCTTGTTTCATAAAAAGCAGTTTTGACAATAATATGAATATTTCCTTTGGTTTATATAAATTAGATCCATTATAACTAATAGAATTTGGGAAGAATTTAATAATACATTGGGCAAATAATAATTTTTTAAATTTCTTATTTCTTGGGTAGAATAGTTTGTTGGTGGGTTGTATGAAGGACCTGTCTAGTTCGGCCGGCGGGCCTGCTGTCTCGCGTCAGGTGTTTCGTTGTTGTGGGATCTGATAGTGAGGTATGGGCTACCCCTTTATATACCTTCCTTTGATGCTTTACTTTCATTGTTCCTTGATAATGTGAGTAGTCACGAAAGCGCTTGGAACTTCTTTATTCTTTCACAGTGGTTGTTTTGCATATTCTGAAATCACCTGTTTACTGTGATCTTATTGCATATACATATATATATATATATATATATATATATATATATATATATATATATATATATATATTATATATATATATATATATATATATATATAAATGCATATCAGTATAATATGCAATATAGGATTATATAATCATTCACATTTTAAATAAAATTAAAAAAAACAATTAAGATTTAACTATATTTCAAGAAAATATTACGTTAAAATGCATGACCTTAGTAAAACATCAAGAATTCTTTTGTCACTGGGAAAGTTAGTGGAAGATTCACCAGCGGCACCACTGATTATCTTTAATTTTCTTACGTCTGAATTCTTGTTTACCCACAACATTTTTCACTGTTGTGTCATACCCTAGTCCATCTTTTTCACTGTTGTGTCATACCCTAGTCCATTTTTTTCACTGTTGTGTCATACCCTAGTCCATCTTTTTCACTGCTGTGTCATTCCCTAGTCCATCTTTTTCACTGCTGTGTCACACCCTAGTCCATCTTTTTCACTGCTCTGTCATACCCTAGTCCATCTTTTTCACTGCTGTGTCATACCATAGTCCATCTTTTTCACTGCTCTGTCACACCTTAGTCCATCTTTTTCACTGCTGTGTCATACCCTAGTCCATCTTTTTCACTGCTGTGTCATACCATAGTCCATCTTTTTCACTGCTGTGTCACACCCTAGTCCATCTTTTTCACTGCTGTGTCATTCCCTAGTCCATCTTTTTCACTGCTGTGTCATACCCTAGTCCATCTCTTTCACCCTTGTGTCATACCCTAGTCCATCTTTTTCACTGCTGTGTCATACCCTAGTCCATCTTTTTCACTGCTGTGTCACACCCTAGTCCATCTTTTTCACTGCTGTGTCATACCCTAGTCCATCTTTTTAACCGCTGTGTCGTACCCTAGTCCATCTTTTTCACTGCTGTGTCATACTTTAGTCCATCTTTTTCACCGCTGTGTCGTACCCTAGTCCATCTTTTTCACTTCTGTGTTGTACCTTAGTCCATCTTTCTTACCGCTGTGTCGTACCCTAGTCCATCTTTTTCACCGCTGTATCGTACCCTAGTCCATCTTTTTCACCGCTGTATCGTACCCTAGTTCATCTTTTTCACCGCTGTGTCGTACCCTAGTCCATCTTTTCCTAGATGACTTACTTCTTACCATATCCAACTCACTGTTATTGGCATATTCATGAAGTTCAATTGCAAAGTGTCTCATTCAGTGCCTGGGAAAACGCCCAAGCAGTAGGAGACACACAGCGCCTGAGGAGTAAGAAATAATCAAGTTTATGGAGGAAGGAGCCCCATTCCTTTAAGTGACCTTCACTGACCCTTGGCAGGCTACGACAGGAAAGGGTAGCTCAAACTTTACGGTTCACGATCCTATGGCCAGTATGACGGCAAGCTACTTGAAGTAAGAAAGTGATAAGATAATGTGCACTGATAGGATCATTCTGGAATGTCGGTCACCTTCCTAGTCTCTGAAGTTACCTCATTACCTCCTATGTCGGTCACCTTCCTAGTCTCTGAAGTTACCTCATTACCTCCTATGTCGGTCACCTTCCTAGTCTCTGAAGTTACCTCATTACCTCCTATGTCGGTCACCTTCCTAGTCTCTGAAGTTACCTCATTACCTCCTATGTCGGTCACCTTCCTAGTCTCTGAAGTTACCTCATTACCTCCTATGTCGGTCACCTTCCTAGTCTCTGAAGTTACCTCATTACATCCTAAACCTAGCAGTGAAACACTCATCTAAATTAAGTTTCATATACAAAAGTGGGACACTTAGTCTCTTGCCTACAGAGTAAGTGACTTACGTAGAAGTGCAGCAGAGAGATAAAGCATGAATGTTCTCACAAAATATAACACTCACTTGAAATCCGAAAAGCTTGTGTATAACGTATAACATTTAAAGGGGTAAATTTATTTCGCAGAAGAGCTTATCAGATATATAGCACTTTCATGGAAGTGTGATCTTAATTAAAAGTGTGATCTTTTCCTATAAGTGTAAGGATGAAAGAGAACAGAAAGACATATATTAAAGTGTGATATTTTGCAGAAAGTGTGAAATTTTCCAAACAGCATTACACTTACCTAAAAGTGTAACACTTGCTTAGATGTGTAACATCTGCCTAAAATGCAACACTTTAAAATGCCTAAAATGCAACATTTTATGCAAATGCTACACTGTAGCATTTGCATAAACGTGAACACACCAAGAAATAAAACACTTACCTAAAAGTGTAACGTTTCCTTAATGGGAAATTCCTACCGAAATGTGTAACACTTAACAAAAAACACTTACCATAAATATAGCACCAATTTCTGCATAATACTTACACAGAATTGTAACATTCTCGACTACATCCTCATTGATCTCTTGAGCTTAACGAAATCTTTATTTTTTTAATACTCTCAAGCCTGCAAGACTAAATCTAACATTTAATAAAACATATTCACCATCCATAGCGACTGAACTACCACTCTCAGCATCACAGTTCTTCAGTGTTGTATTGTAACACTTCTTTCACCAGACCAGAATAGTAATTAGACAGTGGCAGGGAAAAGGAGTGGCGGAATGGGAGGTGGTAATAGTTATAATATTATTAGTAGTGGTAATAATGCTAGTAGTAGTAGTTGTAGTGGTAGTACAAATAATGCTGCAGTGGTAGGCGTAAAAATAAAAGAGTAGTGATATTACTATTAGTAGAAACCTGTAGTAATAATAATGGTAGAGGTGCTCATCTGTTCTCTTGTTATTATTAACTAACTTCATTATAACTATCTATTGCTACCGTTTTCCTTCCCTAATGGTACACTCTACCATATTTTTTTCATAATTCCACTATTACTACCTTATTATTTCTACCCTAACACTGCTGCATTACTACTATTACTACCATTACCATTACTAATACTACTACTCCCTCCTTCCTTTCAACCACTCCCTTCCCATGCCACCCACTCACATATATTCTGGCTCTTTCCCTTCCCAGTTCTCAGTGTGACTTGTTAATGTTCCAGTTCGGTCCGAAACGTCAGGTTATTATTGAATTGGTTTATCTGGAGAGTTTATCTGGAGAGAGTTCCGGGGGTCAACGCCCCCGCGGCCCGGTCAGTGTCCCAGGATGCGACCCACACCAGTCGACTAACACCCAGGTACCCATTTTACTGATGGGGAACATAGACAACAGGTGGAAAGAAACACGTCCAATGTTTCTACTCTGGCTGGGAATCGAACCCAGGCCCTCACCGTGTGAAGCGAGAGCGTTAACCACCAGGCCACCAGAGCCCATGGTTGCACACTTACACCATCTCACTAAGCCAAAATTCACATTTATTTTACTTTAATAACTGTCTATCAGTTATACTTCATAATTATTGAAATCTAACGCCTTTCTCCCACTCTTAAATCAAATTTATTGTGTGCTTATAAAAAAACTTTTCTTCCTTGGTGTGGGCTGACAGTTCCGCCTCTGTGGGTTCGAATCCTTGGGGATAGAGCTCCACTAAGTGCCGGACGCCCGTATGATCTACAGTGCCAAGTTGTGGGAGCCAGACCTCCTGCTGTAGTTACCTGGCGCCTTCAGAATACAGTTCTCAACAGCCACACAGACAAGGTATGTCTATCCCACCCTACCTAAGTCTAGAAGGACAAGTTTCATGATGTGTTCCTTGCAAAAACACTGCAAAAACATCAGTCTACCTGTTGACGATTTCATGAATCATGTCCACCGCTGCCCGGTCATAGACCAGGCTTAGTTGCTGGCGTGATCAGCAAACTGTTTCTGCAAATCTTGACATTACTTAATAACATAATTCACTGTGGTAGTCCTCATCGCTATTATGAAAAATTAATTAATTGTCATCTAAATAGGAAGCTGTGTATTAGATCCAGTTATTATTGATTAAGTCACCGAGGCAAGAATGGGAAAGGGGCAATATTTTAATAATAAATCATCAAAATAGAGAAAATGAATGTTTAGTACCTACATGGTGCATTATCAGTTGACATTATACAGGTTCAGGACGTTCCAAAACGTCGTCGCTTCTCCCGCAGCTGCTTAATCAAGAAGTTTTTCTCACGTAGTATTTTGCGTTTACTTCATAATATTCGTTCTGCTATATCTATTACGTTATAATATGAAAAGGATTGAAAACAGATTGCTTGATAAGAGACAGAAGTTACTGTAGTGTACGACAGGTACTTGAAGCTGACAGGAGTGTTGAGGTAGTGAATGAAAGCTGACGTGGAGACTGACAGCTGTGCATGATGACTGTCTGCTGACAGTACCTGATGTATTAGAAGCATAAGGAAGTCAAGAAGATGTATGATAGTTTATCTGTATTTTTGTGATTTACTTTGAAACAAATACAAATTTTCTCAGAATAAATCCTGAAAAATATGAAAAAATGATGACTAGAAGAGGACAAGACAAACAGTCGTAATATAACCATGAAGAAATAATAATAATAATAATAATAATAATAATAATAATAATAATAATAATAATAATAATAATAATAATAATATGATAATAATGATGGTGATGATGATGATGATGACGCAAAAGATAATGTTTAACATCACAATTCCCACTCTGATAACTTGATAACGACGCTTCCGAGTGTTTTCAAGTTTATTGTGTCAGTTTATCTTAGGATATTGTTCTCTTTGGTCACTTTGAAATATTTGGGCTGTATATGTCTTAATTTACCATTTTTTTTTTAAGAAATTCGGATTTTAGTTTCTAAATGACGTCCTGTGAATGCTTTTTCTGATTACCTTCAGCTCTTCAGTGCTAATATTCAACTGAATTATTAACTTAAGCTTCGCTCTACACTATTTTAATCACGATCACTGAGGCAACGAGAACGGAAGTTCTGGAATAAGGTAAAACCGTTTTCGGATCGTCTACTCGCCGAAATACATATACTTTCTTTTACTTTTCTTTAAATCTCTATTTTTCTAATACTTTGGTCATGAATTTTAATGATAACATCTTGACCTTTTGTTAGTCTCTATTAAAAAATAAATTTAAAAATGTATAGTATGACAGGGGCATATTTTTATTTGACTTTTATTAGAATGTCCAAACCACTTCAACAACCCTTCCTCTGCCCTCTGGAAAATACTTTTAGAAACCCTGTACGTCCTTTTTATCTCCAAACTGCGGATTTTCTGCTTTATATTCGCTCCACACCTTGTCCTCAGACACGATATCTTCACTGTCTCCAGCCTTCTTTTTGCAACAGTCACTACCTATGCTTCCCGCCCATATAAGACCATTGGTACCACTATACTCTTATACATTTCCCTATTTGCTTCCACTGATAACGTTCTTTGTCTCCATAGACTCCTCATTGTTCCACTCACCTTTTTCCCCTCATCAATTCTATGATTCACCTCATCTTTCATAGACTCATCTGCTGTCACGTCCATTCCCAAATATCTGAACACATTTACTTCCTCCATATCCCCTCTCCTATATTATGTTCAATCTTTTAATACCTAAATTTTCTGCTATCCGCATCACCTTGCTCATTCCTATGTTCACTTTTAATTTCCTTCTTTTACATACCCTTACAAATTCCTTCACCAAATTCTGCAACCTGTCTTCAGAATTTCCCAAAACTAAAGTGACCATCTGTGACAACTCCCACTTTGTGTAAGATTCTCTAACGCTTGATCCTACACCTCTAGCCAGCACCTGAGCATTCAATTCTCTTATAACCTCATCTATAAATATATTGAACATTCATAGTGACAACACATCCCTCTCTAAAGGCCTACTTTTACTGGAAAATAATCTCTCTCTCTCTCTCTCTCTCTCTCTCCTACCTCCTCTAACCTGAGCCTCAGTATCCTCGTAACAAGCCTTAACTGCTTTCAGTAACCTACCACCTATTCCATACATTTGTTACATCTGCCACATTGCTCTCCTACCCGCCTTCTCATGTGCCTTTCCCAAATTCATAAATGTAAAGAAAACCTCTTTACGCTAATCTAAATACTCTTCACTCTCCCTACCGTTCCTAAAGCCTCCTTGTTCATCTGTGATCCTGCTCTCCTTCTTACTCTTAATTCTTTCAATAATAACTCTAGCAGGTATATGCTTATTCCTTTATAAATTTTACATATTCTTTTGTCCCCTTTGCCTTTACACAAACGAATTATGTATGCTCTTTGCCAATCCCTAGGTAACCTCCCCTCTTCCGTATATTTATTAAATAAAAGCACCAACCATTCCAAAATTATATCCCCATCTGCTTTTAACATATCTGTCTTTATCCCATCTCTCCCAGCTGCTTCACCCCCTTTCATTTTGCCCACTGCCTCACTCACCTCGTCCACACTCACAACTGCCTCTTCCTCACTCCTATAAGATGCCATACCTCCCTGCCCAATGCACAAAATAACAACTTCTCTGTCTTCATCAACAGTCGATCAAAATATTCCCTCTGAACAATCTAACACTATATTCTTGAATCTACCCCATTTTTCTTCAACTTCATTTCCTATACTCTCACTCGCCCATCTTTCTTCCAATAGTTGCTTATATCTTACCCTAACTGCATCCTCTTTTAGTTTATAAACCTTCACCTCTCTCCTACTTGCTGGTGCCATTCTCTTTGTTTCCCAACTAACGTTTACTCACACTGTAGCTGCAACTGAAAAATGTTCTTATATATCTATGGCCCCTCTACAAACATGGACATCCTGAAGTCTAACCCTGAGTTTTTTATTTATCAATTCATAGTCTAACAAGCTACTGTCATTACGCTCAGTATCATATCTTGTATACTTATCCTTTTTTGTCTTATAATATGTATTACATATTATGAAACCCCCTGGAACCCCAAACTTACCTACCCCACCTCCTATATAACCGTTTCACCTACTTTGCATTTTGCCCCCAACCCACAACTACTTTTCCACTTGGTTCAAAATTCCCCGAACACTCTTTTAAAACATCTCCAAAAGTTTTTTCCCTCTACATCGTTTTTCCGGTGATAAAAACTTATTAAAAAAACTTTTCCATTCGACCTTTTTTAATATAATAATCCTTGATTTATGCATTTATTTCCCCTTTCTCCTTTGAAACTGATTTTTCGATTTATTGTCCCCTTACTTACCTTTTTGCTCTCTCAGTTATTTGACCAAACCCCATTCTTTTCTCCTCATGAAACTCCCTACCCATTCTGCTTTGTTTCGCTTAAAAAAAGGGTGGGAACTTTTTTCTGCCAAGGGCCTTGGATATTTATAACTTATCGCGGTCCATAAAAAAATAATTTTAAAAATTTTAGCTGCTATTTTTGGTAAAAACTTTTAAGAAAACTCACGCCAAAATGTGATGGCTGGCCTGCTATTTTTTGGTGAGGCATGTGTGTTAGCTGGTTTTGATGTGTTGTACTCGCAATGCTTTTCCAGGGGTTTTCTTCGGTCGTCTGGAGCGCAGTGATCTTTGCGATGGGGGAGTTTTTTAAAAAAAAATGCTGGTGCAGCAAGTTGTTCAGAACAAGTGCTTGTATCGTGATGTTCCTAAAGTGGGAAATTTTTACTGCTTATTTAACGTTTTTGATCTTAAGCAGTGAGAGGTTTTTGTATTGTTTCAGCCATCATCATTAGAAGCTGAATGATTCGTGTTGTAGGTTATCCCGGACATCAGTGGTTCCAATTGAACGGTGTAACGAAGATGTTCAATTTCATTTTTCTCGTCCTTGAATCTTTCATTAAATTCCTCGGTTAGTTTCGCACATTCACCAGCATATTCAAATGTCACAGAAGGATTTTGTCCTTCCAGAGTGGAGAAATGCACCGTGGTATTCTTTTGGGTTGCAATTTCCACAACCTTAATTTAGCTTAAAATGTTTTCGCGTTTGAAGGCAAGGAGCTAAAAAGCTGCTTAGGGCCCTGCAGTTTGACATTTAGCTTTCAGAGGTATTTGGTAATGTCCACCATGAACGCTAGATCACACAGCCACTTTCTGTCATTAAGCTCCCTGACAGATTTTCCCTTCATCTCCATGAAGTGCTTGACTTCATCCGACAGTTCGTAAAACTTTATGAGCATGTTCCTGCAACTCAGACACCTCACTTTACAGTGATGAAGAAGATCACCGTACTCAGAGTCAAGTTCATTCAGTAACTGCTTAAACTGGCGGCTGTTAAGCCCTCGCTTTAAAAAAAATTTATGATGACAAAGTGTTGAATCTTGAGCTGAAACGATGTCCCGCAGCGACTTTTCTGGATGTATCCGCAGTGCATATAATTAATTCACGTGAATCAAGACTGAGACTTTTCAGTTCTTTCATGAAAAATGCAATTAATCCCTTTCCCGAGCGAGAAATGGCCGGAACTCATTTTTTTTTTCATTGATAAAACAAGTCCTCACCTCTTGTAGTGCCATGAATGGCTTCCAGTGACAGCAGTTCATCTTGCGTGTCAAACTCTGCAGTTATCCAACGAACAAAGACAGCCACTTGGGAAGAATTTTTTATGTCCGTTGTCTCGTCACAAGCCAGAGAGAAAAATTGGAAATTCCCTGCACAATCCTTCAGTGTTTTTTACAATATCTTTTGCCAAGCCAGTAATTCGATCTGAGACTGTTCTCCTAGACAAACTAACACTCCGAAACAATTTTACTTTACCTGGTGCTAACAAGTCCGCAGCAGCCACCGTGTACTCCTTCACAAACTCTCCTTCTACACGAGGCCTCAGCTTCTTTGCGATTAGCTCGCTCACTACATAACTTGTCTGAATAACGTTGTCTCTGTTACAACTAGGCCTAATGAAAGCGGTTTGTTGTGATTCCAAACTCCACAGAAGAACATTGATCTTATGCAATTGCACTTGGCCTCCCAATTCATTGAGTTTAGCATATTTTGAAACTGATGTGACACTCCAGATTGGCGTTTTTCATTACTGCTAACGCATCGCCACGAACTAAACACACACGTTTGCCTTTGACTTCAAATATAAAAATAATTATTTGTCCATTTCTCTTGGAAAGATCGACATTCTGCATCAACTTTTCTTTGTAGAATGTCACGCCACTTATAGATTTTTTTCTTCCTAATTATCCAGTTTTAAGGAAATTTTTACTATGATTTAAACAGCATTGTTTGGAGTATAATAATGCCCTATTTTATTGGGTATAGAATAATAATGCCCTATTTTATAGGGTATAAAACTCGCCCCAGTTTGCAAAATTGGTAACATGTACAATGTTCAAAGAACTTTTGAGCGAAATATAAATAGATTACATAATAAAAAATGTTGAAATTTGTCTTTTTTTAAGGATTTTGGGAGGAAAAAATCAATAAAAAAAAAACGGTAAAAGATATTACAAATCCCTGTTACCATTGTGCAAAAAACCATTTCCTCAATAATGTTGAAAAAATCAGCTTATGCCAAATAGTTTTTGCAAAACGTGTAACGAAAGGTCAAAAACTCATTCCTGAGAAAAAGAGAAATTTCTTTTTTTTAAAGAATTACTATAAAAAATGGCTAAACTATGATATAAAATTTAAAAAGGAGGAGGGTAAGCCAGCGGAAGGCCTCAGTCAATTTCTAAATACTAAAAACGGCAGGTCAAATCTAAGCCCCGTGTCGGGAAAAAACACTTATCCTTTTTCCCTGACAAACTTTACTTAACCTAATTTGAAAAATTACGGACACGCGCATCAGACTTCGGCGGAGGATACTCTCAACATTTGATGGCCCCACGGCGCTGAGCAGCTCTCACTCTGAACCTAACTAAATGGAGTCGACAGAATGATCCCATTTTTTTTTTTACAAAGGGTTTGACAAGATTAGGACATGTTTTATTGACAAGCTATTTAAGGGTTTAAAGGTTTCCTAACTTTTTTGACAAGTAAGAGCTGTTCCCTTATCGTATTTAAAAGATTTTTTTTGGTTAGGACATACAAGTGGGGGAAAGGATGAAGTTGGAGCCATTGTAGGCCAGCTTTTTCATGTGACAACGATGTTCTCGGTGACATCATTTTTGCTGTACGAAGTTTTCTATGCCGATACCCGGGGTTTATATTGATCTAGATGGAGTATGTTCTGGGAAGGGACACCAGAGTGAAGTTGCTGCTTTTGCCCGTCTTGTGGCAAAAAAGCTTGTTTCACACTGCCCTCGAAGTGGATCCAATTTGTGGTACTTTGACAATTTGGCCTTGTACAAACAGTAAGGCCACCCCACATCCCTTGTGTTGAAGGCTCTGCGAAATGAAAAATCTATCCAGGATGGGTCAGGCGAGGGGGGACTCTTGCTCTGTTTTCTACTCTGTCAAGCAGTCGAAATTTTAGAGGGGGGGGGGGCAAACCAAGAAATGGGGCTACTCAAGGGGTGAGCGTACTTGTGCCTCGTAAGATCTTTCAACCCCTTGTCAAGTTTTTTTGGTTAGATACGGTGAAGTGCTGTAAGTTCCTGGCTGCCTGTTTGCTAGATTTAAAACATGGTTCTTTTGGTTAGTTTGGGCAGATTTTACCCCAAGGTTTTCAACTTCTTTCCAGGGCCAAAAAACCCCCCCATTCATCCTTTCTACTGCACCGCATTACCTATGGTCCCCAGGCGTCATCTTTTTGGGTTTTTTCAGGTTCAGTGGTCAGTGCCCGTGTTCAGTGGTCGTCGTCACGTGGAGGTCCGACCTGAGCGCTTGGGGGTTAGCGTGGACGGTTTTTAAAGCATGGCTTGCTTTACAGTGTTTTAAAAACTGAGGTTGGGAGTTTTTAAGGAGGAGGTCTTGCTTCTCCCGGAGGGATTAGGAGGGTGAAGGTCCACCTCAAAATGGGCCGGGAGAGAGTGTGAGGTGGTTGGAGATTGGGGAATGAGGCTTTAGCAGTTTTAGGTGCGTTTTGTCTCTCATGTGAGGAGGCTGTAGGGGGGGTGGTGCAACGGCTACCAGCAGGAGGTGGCCCCCCTGCTACAAGTGGCGGTTGTTCACAGTAAGGGAGGCGCATCGAGTAAGGAAAAAATTTAAAAGGCAGATCTGAAGGGAGGAAATCGCTTCTCTGTTTCCCGATGAATGTATTCAGTGGCCAGTGAAGGTAAGGGTATACTGCCCCCGCAAAGAAGGTAAACCATTCTTGTGGGTTGGGGCTCTCGGTAAAATATGTTGATCGTGCTTTTTTTAATAGGAATAAGAAGATGAGAGATAGAGTGTGCTTCCCTGGAGCTGGTGTTGGGGACATTGTCAACAGACTGGATAATATCATGTCAGGTAATGGGAACAAGCCCATTATCTGTCTCAGTGCTGGTGGAAATGATTTTGGGAAGGGTAGGAGAGAAGAGCTGCTAGATAAGTACAGGTCAGCTATAGATTTCATTAAGTCTAAGGGAGGATCCAATCATATGTAGCATCTTGCCTAGAAGGGGAGTAGGAAATGAATGGTTGTCTAGGGCAATTGGGTGTAAATTTCTGGCTAGACAGATACTGCAAGGAACTTGCAATCCACATTCATTGACAACTGGAACAACTTTTATGGCAAACATGATATGTATGCAAGGGATGGGGTTCATCTCTCTGGGGCAGGGTGGTAGCACTTGCAGACTCGATTGAGAAGGCCATTGGTGAAATGCCTATGATTTTAAACTGATGGAAGATAGAGGTATGGGTGTGTGTGGGAAACAAGCAGGTTGCAACACTAGGGTTGGAAACAGTAAATGTATAAAAGGCATTCAGCATGAAGTTATAAATAAAGACAATAGAACAGGTCAGCAAACAAAGGGGGGACAGCAGAGGGCAGAAAGGGGACTAGCTCCCTTAAGGTTTACTATACTAATAGCAGGAGTGTTAGAATAATAGATGAGCTAAGATTAATTGCAAGTGAAGGAAACATAGATATTTTGCTATAACAGAGACCTGGCTCAATCTGAAAGATAGAGAGATGCCCTCTGAATGTCACATACAAGGCTATAAATTTTTTCCACACTGACAGGGTCAACAGGAAAGGTGGTGGAGTAGCGATGTATGTCAGAGACAATTTTAAATTGTTGTGTTAGACAAGATATTAAATTAGAACGTCAGCCACTGAATCTGTTTGGTTACAGCTTCTCGAGGGCCGAGAAAAACTATTTTGGGTGTGATTTACAGGGCCCCAATCTTGATAGGGAGTGCAGTAAACTTTTTATGGGAAACGAAATTCGTAAGGCATTTACATACGAAAATGTTGTGCTAAGGGGAGATTTCAACTATAGACAGATTGACTGGAGCAATTTGACAGGAAATTTAGAGTCGGGTGACTTTCTTGATACGATCCGGATTTTTTTTTTAAAACAGTTTGGGGACAGACCCAACTGGGGGAAATAACCTCCTTGACTTGGTTTTTTCCCAGTAGGGAACACTAATTAATAATCTTGAGGTTAATGATGAGCTTGGGGAGAGTGATCACAAATCACTCAGTTTTTAACATAGCATGGAATTTCCCCTAATAATGGCAATCAAGTCCCCGTCCCTGACTTTCGCTTGGCTGATTTCTAGGACTGAAAAATTACTTAGGGGGGGCTGAACGGGAAATTTGACCTGACTAGGGGTCAGGTAGGTGGTGATGGTTGCCGATATGATGCTTTTCCAGGGCATAGTTCTAGCTGCTCAGTCAAATTATGTTCCAAATAGGGAATCAGATCAAAC